TGCACCTGCGGACAGAAGCATCGCATCTGCGATGAAGGATCACTTCTGCGAGCATCATGCCCAGCTTTTGCCTCAGTCCGCTTCTGCGTCTTCAAGACATCGCACCGGCGATTATGCAGGTGCGCAAGACTGTCCGCATCTGCGACCTCCCTCCAGCTCTACCCAGGTCGCTTCTGCGGTGATTTCCTCGCTTCTGCAAGGTCGCTTCTGCGACCAGAACATCGCAGAAGCGATGCACCAGCAGTTCAGAAATTTCCAGCAACTTTCTTCAAGTCCAAATCGATCTGTTAACCACCCGGAATCCACCCGAGGCCCTCGGGACCTTAACCAAATATACCAACATGTCCTGAAATACAATACGAACTTAGTCGAGGCTTCAAACCAAGTCAAACAACACTAAAATTACGAATCGCGCCTCGAATCGAATTATGAGTTTTCAAATCTTCCAACTTCTATATTTTGCGCCGAAATGTATCAAATCAATCCGGAATGACTTCAAATTTTGCACACAAGTCATAAATGACATAATGGAGTTGTTACAATTTCCAAAATTGAAATCCGATCTCGTTATCAAAAATTCAACCTTCGGTCGAACTCTCCAACAATCTTCTATTTTCAACTTTCGCCAAAATGCGTCGAATTGTCCTACGGACTTCCAAATCCAAATCCGGACATACACATAAGTCTGAAATCCCCATACGAAGCTATTGACATCATCAAAATTCCATTTCGGGTTTGTTTGCTCAAAAGTCAACTCTCTGGTCAACTCTTTCCATTTAAGCTTCAAAAATGAGAATTGTTCTTTAAATTAAATTTTGAATCTTCCAAAAACAAAACTCGACCACACACGCGGGTCATAATATGTATTACGAAACTTCTAGAGACCTTAAGTCACTAAACGGGGCATAAAATCTTAAAACGACAAGTCGGGTCGTTACATTCTCCCCCTCTTAAAACATACATTCGTCCTCGAACGTGCCAAAAATTATTCTGAGGACATTAAATTACTGAGTGTTCCTTACACACATACTCGCAGGTGATTTTACGTCCCCGCAATTTAACATGGGTCCGACAATACTCTCTCAGCTGAGATTATTCCTTTTTACCCTCATTTATACACTTTAAAGCCAATTTCTTATACTCCAATTAATTTCAAAAAGCCTGATTTTCCATATTAACAGACTATGTTAGTCTCAACTGGTGGTAGCAATTTCGTGCCTACACACACATTATACATATGCCCATAATTATATCTCTGGTCATAATAACTATTCATAATTGGTTCCAGCATCATCAATTAATCTTATATTAACAAAATCTCATTTCAAATTTTTCACAACACTGACAACAACACGCGAGGCATGAAGACCTCATAATTATTTACCCGAATTAACGAGTCACATTTAACGCCACATGGGCACTCATCTCGTAGGCTAAAACTCAATATTTACAATACGAATATGGCTACATATGCACACAAAATACATACAAAATTATCAAATAAGCCTAACAGGCATGACTCCCAATTAATACTATAGTACAAATTTTAATTTCATAGAGGAGGAATTTAAACTCAATTTGTTTTTTCACTACAAGGACCTCGTCCTTATATAACTTCCACCGCCATTTGTAGCCTGGTTTAAATATTTCATACCATATAAAAATGAAAGGATCTCGTCCTCAACTCTGAATCACAAGTATTTTACACATTGTGCCAACTGAAATTTTCCATTCCCTTTCTTTATTCTTTCTAATAAATTCCGTAAATAGTTTTTACTACACATAATGAACCCCCATACATGTATGGCATATAATTCATAAAATTGTAATCAATTATCACGAAATCACCTTTTGGACTCATAGCCCACAATAATGTACAAAACAAAAATGATAAACACGGCTAACACCATCAAGTCTCCCAACAGGGATAAACACGAAAGTGGAGTACAAATTCACAAATCCACCATATAAGGAGCATGAAAGGAGTTCCCACCTCGATAATCGAATCAAAATAAGAATAGTGCTCCTTTTAATATAAATTAATTCATACCTATAACGACATCATTTGGTGTATCGGCCTCAGCCAATTCATAGCACCTATATCAACGGGTCGGGCCTCCCCCTCTTGGGCGCCCTCTACCCGCCTGTCCTCCACCCCTAACTGGTTGTACACGTGGGGTATTAACTGGAATAAAGCATGTAGCCCGAGTGTTTTGATGAAATTCGCCTCTCCCAAGTCCGGGACAATCTCTCATGATGTGCCTGGTATCACCACACTCATAATATCCCCTCCGAGGTCGCGGCTTCTCGTACTGAGTTTGTGCCCATGTGGTGCACTAAAAGTATGAACTAGAGCAGTACGAGTACTCTGAATTGCAGACTAGGATGAACGACTGCCCGAGCTTCCGTCATAATGAGTCATAGCTGCAAAGTAGAATCCACTGAATCCTCCAAAGTTTCGAGACCTTTTGGCCTCCTTAGACTCCTTTTCCTCACTTCGAACACATTCTAACATTCTGATAGTCTCTACTACTTGCTGAAATGGAATGTCAGTCTGCAACTCTTGAGCCATACATATTTTAAAATCATAATCGAGCCCTTTAATGAATCTGCGGACTCGCTCTCTAACCGTAGTAACCAAGATAGGTGCATGGCGGGATAACTCACTGAACCTGATAGCATATTCTGACATCGTCATAGTGCCCTGGCGCAACCGTTCAAACTCTGTGCGCCACGCATCCCGGAGAGTCTAGGGAACAAACTCTTTCAAAGACATCTCCGAAAATTGAGCCCAAGTTGGTGGCATTGCACCGGCTGGTCTACCTTCTTCATAAACTTGCCACCACTGATACGTGCTCATGACAACTGAAATGTAGTAAAGGCAACTATACTCACTTCTATAATACCCATGGTGCGGAGAATATGGTGACATTTGTTTTTCCTGAAAATCCTTGGGCATCCTTGGTAGCTGTGCCACTGGAGGTAGGTGAACTATACCTCTTAAAACGTCGACTTAAAATTTTATTCTAAAAAGTCAACCAAAGTTAACGCGGGGCCCGTCTCTCGGAACCCGACATAATTTTCACAAAATCCAAACACCCATTCCGATACGAGTTCAACTATACCAATTTTATCAAATTCCGATAACAACTCGATCTCTAAATCTTAAACTTTCGTTCTTGAAAAGTTTTTCAAAAATATTGATTTCTTCCATTTAAATCCGAATTAAACCATGAATATAACCATGGATTTATGAAATATAATAATTTTCGTATATATGACACTTACTCAAGTCAAAGTCATGAAAAACTCCTCCAAAATCGCCCAAAACCCGAGCTCCAAAATCTCAATCGAAAAAGGCAAAATGACCATTTTTGGTCCTTAATGTTTCTGCCCAGTTTCGCATCTGTGGGCAGATTTGTCGCACCTGCGTGCTCGCTTCTGCGAGCACTGTTCACGCTTCTGCGCTGCCTCCACACTTTTGCGAGAAAACCAGCAAGCTACCAGCTTCGCTTCTGCGTTCTTACTTGCGCTTCTACGATCGCACAGGTGCGTAGAAATGTCCGCTTATGCGAGTTCAAGCCAGCCTTTGCCCATCTCCCTTTCCAGTAGCTCCTGCGATGAAGCTTCCGCAGAAGCGAAAGCATCAGCTGGTGCCCAAAAATTCCAACATCTTTTCTTCAAGTCCGAATTGATCCGTTAACCTTCCGAAATCTACCCGAGGCCCTCGGGACCTTAACCAAATATTCTAACATGTCCCAAAATACAATACGAACTTAGTCGAGGCTTCAAACCATGCCAAACAACGCCGAAATTACGAAACGCGCATCGAATCGAATTATGAGTTTTTCAAATCTTCCAACTTCTATATTTTGCGCCAAAACATATCAAATCAATCTGTAATGACTTCAAATTTTGCACACAAGTCATAAATGATGTAATGAAATTGTTTCAATTTTCGGAATCGAAATCCGACCTCGTTATCAAAAATTCAACCTTCGGTCGAACTTTTCAAAAATCTTCTATTTTCCAACTTTTGCCAAAATGCGTTGAATTGTCCTACGGACTTCCAAATCCAAATTCGGACACACGCCTAAGTTCAAAATCACCATACGAATCTATTGACGTCATCAAAATTTCTATTCCGGGGTCGTTTGCTCAAAAGTCAACTCTCCGGTCAACTATTTTCATTTAAGCTTCAAAATGAGAATTGTTCTTTCAAATTAAATTCTGAATCTTCCGAAAATCAAACTCGACTACACACGCGGGTTATAATACATATTACGAAACTGCTCGAGACCTTAAGTCGTTGAACGGAGCGTTAATTCTTAAAACGACAAGTTGGGTTGTTACATGTATAACTACAAAAATAATGTATAACTAAATTCAATTGAATACAATTACTATGTTAGTGTGAGAAAAAAATATTTTCAATGTTTAAACAAATATTACATTTTATTTTAACGTCAATGTATATACTTTTAATTGATAGACATTATACACACGTGCAACACACATATCCTAAAACTAGTTTATACTAATAGAAAATATTTCCGTTTTTATTAGGCTCTATACACGAAGGTAAGTATCGAAATTGAATAGTAGTACAAAAAAGAAGCTTTTACAATGTGGGTTGCTCTGATGGTAAGCACCCTCCACTTCCAACCAAGAGGTTGTGAGTTCGAGTTACCCCAAGAGCAAGGTGGGGAGTTCTTGGAGGGAAAGATGCCGATGGTCATTTGGAAATAGCTCTCTACTCTAGGGTAAGGGTAAGGTCTGCGTACACACTACCCTCCCTAGACCCCACTAGTGGGATTATATTAGATTGTTGTTTTTGTTGTTGTTACATGACTACTTAGGTGGGTTAAAAAAGTTACCTATATGTATTTATTTACAAAATTCATCCTATTTAACATTTTTTTCAAAAAAGGAAGAAAAAGTTTGAATCCCTTCAGTAAATTCACAGAATCCAGGCCCAGAAGCATCTAGACATTTCCAGTAGCGCCTCCTTTTTCCCCCTCCATTATAGATATATATATATACCAAACCAACTGCCATTTGTCTTTCTTAACGCAGTTATCTCTATCAGTCGCTTAATTTTCCCCTCTGTAAAAGACTCTAAACATGAGGTATGTTCTTCAATCTTCCTTTTCCTTTGCGTTTTACTACATGTATTTATCTTCCTTTGTGTACTGGGCTATAATCTCTGTTTCTACAGTTTTTTTTCACCCATTGCATAAGAGTCGTACATACTAGAAGGTTTTTGGGTGTTTTCAAGTTTTCACTCGAAATGCTTAAATCAAACCCTAGGATTTAGAGTTTTGTATTTGAACTTTAACGAAAAGAAATTTGTATTTGAATATTTTTATGTTGCTCCTCAACCCCCCCGGAATCATATTTCATTTATTTCTAGTCTGTTAGAAACTAATCTACTCACATTGCTTTTTGTAATTAGTCTGTTTTTGTCATTTTTTGAATTTAAATGATATACGTGCAGCAATTTATCTATCTCTTTTTTTTTCTTTTTCTTTTTTCGTTTTGGGGATGGCCGGGATAAAGGAAGGGGAAAGGAAGGTCTCTGGTGAGCGGTGAGTACTAAATATAGATATGGTATATCTACTCTTGTTTTTGGAGACCAATTTCTGTCTTACTGATTGCAGTAAGACGAGATTATTTAGGAAATAGGAACCATAAATGCCATACGGAATTTTCTTGAGATGTAATCATGCAGGCGTCCAACTGATTGTTGTAGAGATATAATGATGACACATGCTCTGTGCGTCTCCTCCCGTGAACGTGAACGTGAATATCAAATATTCTGCTTAAATAGTAGACACATGTAATAAATAAGAAAATACTATAAGATCCGAACCTACAGAGTTTTTGGGTGCTTGCAGACATTCTTGCTCAATAATGTCTCCACTAAACAAATAAGCATTGATGCTTTGGCATCTGCACTATACCCAAGCACAATGTATCTCAAATCAACTACATTTCCTGGCCATTAGTGCTTTGGAAAATGCCTTCAAAATTTATTTAGGTTCCGGTCAATGGCTTTATAATGAGGTTGCAAAGGAATACTTGCTTAGCTTTTCTCTGTTTTCTTTTTGTTCCCTATCATAGGACGTTAGCTTTATTGTTAGTTGTGTTCTTTTATGATGTTTATCCAAGTTTTTTTTTAGTTATGAACTAAAAGTGACCAACTTATGTGTCAAAATAAATCTAATCAAGGCACTATTTTGGTATTTATGTCTTATTCCTTTAGATACAAACTTCTGGAGTAGAAGCAAACCTTTTGTTGTTCTTTTTTTAAAAATTTAAATAAGGTTAATATCTTTATATATTTTGAGAAACGGCCATCTGTGAGCGGTATACCAAAAAGTATGAAATACATTCCCAAAGGTACCTAATAATCTCATGGGTGCTCCAAAAGTTGACCAAAAACAAGAATTCATTCCTCAAATGTTCATGCTAGTCTCTATTCCTTCAAAAGCACCCTTATTTCTGTCCTTCCATAGGATCACACTGAAGATCAGGGCAGAAATATTCCGTTCTTTGTGTTTCTCTTCTCCAACTGCGTATAGTACATAATTCACTTTGTACGATATTGTCTGCTATGCTCCAAATACCACTTATCAATTGCCAACTAATAACGCAACCTCAGGAAGATGGCCTTTCTGTTGGCAGTATAAGTGGTGTAGTTGATTTTGGGTCAACTTTGTTTAGACCTTCATACAAGGGAAGTGCCAAAAGGTTGAGGATGTTAAATTTGGGGTGAGCATCAGGTTCGTTCTGCTTTACAGTTTTGGTGCCTAACTTTGTACATCTCATCTCGTTACCTTTGGATGTTGGAGACATCAGTGGTTTGACATGCAAGGGGGTGTAAGTGGAAGAAATTTTTTAGTTGATAAAGTTTCAATATCAAGCTGCAGTTTCTCTATGGACTATGGAGTGTTTCAGTTTGTATTCCACAATAATCTATCATGGTGCTCTTGTGCACCCATCACTATGCTCATCACCAGCTGTTCAAACATGAAATATGGTGGAGTCTCCACCTTCATCTCATATTGTTGGCCCTATGTCAAGTTGGGCTCTTATTGAACCGTTGCACCTCATTTATTCGTAATTGCATATGGAGAGCTTCATCTGGTGCTTGCTTGAATTTTTTATTTTTTTATTTTTTTTTAACTTCTGCATGTAATTAATATAGCAATTCGGGATCTACCGTTACGTATCATGCTCCAAGTTCTTATTCCCCGCATATAGTGGGATAATCAGACGCAGGTAAAAATGACAAAGGAGACAATTATACACGGGATAATTTGTTCACTTACCTTCCTCAAAATTCCTCTTCTTGAAATATCATTTATGAGTTCTCCGACTGATTATACAAATCTCAAGTTGCCTGGAAGTCTGGAATTTTTTGTAATTGGAGACATCCAATTGTTTGCTTTTCCTGATTTTGTCTTGAATGGTTGTTATTGTGTGACTTGGTTGAGATCCATTTGTTTTCTGCTTCTCTATCTTAGCCGACACCCTGCTGTCAAGTGGGCCCAGAGGTCCGACAAGCTGTTTATCACGGTGGAGTTGCCGGATGCCAAGAATGTGAAGCTGAAACTGGAACCAGAAGGAAAATTCTTCTTTTCTGCAATTGCAGGAGCTGATAATGTACCGTATGAAGTGGATCTCGATCTCTTTGATAAAATTAATGTTGATGTAAGTGAAGCTCCCTCAGTTCACATCTGCATGTGAGAATTAATGTAAATTTTACTGTAACAACTAAAAAAATAATGTTACTTTTACTGTAAAATGTTCATTCAGGAGAGCAAAACTAGTACTACTTCCAGAAGTATCGTGTATCTTGTGAAGAAGGCAGAAGACAAGTGGTGGAGCAGACTGATAAAGCAGGAAGGTGTACGTCCAGTATTTTTGAAAGTTGACTGGGACAAATGGGTTGATGAAGATGAAGAGGACACTAAACGTAAGTATAATGTCACTAGGAATATGCTATACTGTTGATATTAACCACTTGGTATGTATATTTGCTAACCATGATACTAATATTTCAGCTGGGACAGATATGGATTTTGGTGACATTGACTTTTCGGTAAGCAGCTCTAGAGATATTATAGCCAGCAAAGTTTATTTTCGTCTATATTTATGCCGAAGTTTTAACTTGACCCCTTTATTATTATTCTCTCAGAAACTCAACATGGGAGGAGGTCCTAGTGATTTTGATGCTGATGTGCCCGAGGGTAAGTCAGCTTTGGTTACCCAGCAACAGTCCATCCCGTATTTTCAGCTTCAAATCTTCTGCTCTCCGTTTGATTTGTCAGTTGTAAATTGTGTTCTGTTCTTGTCTTTTGTAAGTTCACATTGTTTCTGCAGGAGACGATGACAGTGACACCGAGGAAGAAGAAGTCAAGGAGGAAGAAGATAGTGCACATAATGAACCTAAGGCAGCAGTGCCTCCAAGCACAGAACCCGAAGCAAAAGCTTGATGCGTTGTAATATCTGAAAAGCGTTTTAACCGCATGAGTTTTACTGTAGTACTGTTAGTTGTGGTTAGAGCAGTTGTGTAGGAATTGATGTTAGTTTATGTTATATTTGAAGGATTAGACGTTCCATGTGATTGAATTTTGTTATCATATAGCTCTTGTTATTTGGCAACGTATGATGTGTTCAATCCTGTTGTCTGTGTGTTTTCTGAAGGATTTCGTTTCAAAAAGAAAATCATTCGAGGCTGAGATGCCCTAGTTGAATGAATCTTTGTGCACGTATGGCCTTAAGTATTTGCTTATTCCAGATGATTCGCAGGTCATTTGGCAACTTTAATCCGACTCCAAGCTGCGAGTGTTTGTACCCAAATGGTGACATAGAATACTTTTAGCAAACTCATCACATTTCAGTAGATTACTTGGGGTTCTTACGTTTTCAATTTCTACTAGTTAGCACGGTGTATCCTTTTTTTGTCTTATTTCGTTTTCTTCTCTTTTAAAATAGTACGAAAAAGCTTGTTTTGGTTACAAGTTGGACTATACCTCCAAGGTTTATGCTGTTACGCTTGTTTCTTTTTCTTTAAAAAGATCTTATGAGGATGTGAAAAGAGAAATAGAGTGTTCTGCTCACAATTGGACGCATAAGAAAATACAATTTCAACAATATTTTATGACAGGTACGCATAGAATGAAGCTGCAGTCTGTATTTCTATTATGTTGCATCCAGTAATAGGGGATCTTTTTGTTAGTACCTCAGCTGATGCACTGGAGAACTTTAACATTACGTTAACCTATATGAAGAGAAGTCCTCTTCACACAGCGAACAATACTACTGCACCAGAATGAGGCCTATCTTTACAATTTTAACGTTTCATAAGCTATTCTGGAAAACTAGTAACTTTCCCATACAAGAAACTGTAGCATTTTGTAGGCAAGGACAACGAAATCTGTTGTCGGTCTATTATGATGAGGGCAAAAGTGGTTCAGAAGTACTGCATTAGGAATAATTTTTATCCCATCCTATCTTATATACTTCCCAGGACAAATAAAGTTGGTGCCTATGGCAGTCGGCAGAGAGAGATCTCAATATGAAGTAGTTAGTTCAAGATCAACTGGCACTGAAACTCACACTTGGCTTGGACATGACTGGGGAGAACTGTTGGAGGCTAAGCCTCTTTTAAGTCTTCTGCCTGCAAATGGGAAAAAAGTGGGAAGGGGTGAGAGAACGAAGAAGTACAAAACCATTAGCCAAAGGGTTCTAATAATCACCAAGAAATACAAGTAGACAGAGATCCATAAGAAAGTTTATAGGTCATCCAATTAGTGAGATCAAAGATCTCCACCAAGAAAAGTTGATCTATAGCAGATGCCAAAAATCCTTGTACAATGACATTTTAATTTATAGGGTTTTGTGGTAATAGTCCTTTGTCAAAAATGCTCTCAGGCACAGGTTCCTAGGTATCCAATCTTCAAATCTGTACTTAGTCTTTCCGACGACTTTTGCCACCGGAAAAACTGAGTTTTTTCCCAATCACAGATGATTGAGTAAAAACTAGTTTATAAATTATAATAGCATTATGGAGAACAGAATCTATTTCAGGGCGGGGGACAAAACATACGACATCACAGAGAATCAAACAGCACCAGAAGCTTGGTTTGAATGGGTGGAGAGAAGAAACCAGCTGCTTAGAAGAATGACCTTAAGTGGGAAGGCACTTTCATGGGTTAGTGAAGTGCTGCAGAAAGCGTCAAGGAGAAGGGGAAACACGTACAACAGATGGAACATCAGAGACAATATCATCACCTTTTATTGCACACAAAAATACAACGTATATGGCAGATTTATCAGCCTTATAGCAGTGCATGGAACTAACCGATCAGTCATTATTATCCCAGAAAAGGCCTTTAATGTGGGATGGGGAGAGCTAGCTATTAAAATAAAGAATTTCATGAATAGAAGAGCAGTTATTACAGATCCACAGATGCCTTTATTACAAAACACCTATGCTCATACAACTCGTGAATGCAAATGGTCCAAAATGAATGGGGCCCAGATAATCAATCAAACTGAGGAGGGCATTATTAAAATACAGGGGACAAAAATCTCGGATGATAAACTCTTGAGCAGGTGTTTGGTTGGCAGATTCTCCAAGGAGCTTGACGAAATTCCCACTAGAAACGAAGTCCGAAAATGGATCAGCAACAAGTGGAGCAATGCTATTGGGGTATACGAGTTGAATGGATGTCAGTTCTTGTTCGAGTTTCCAACCAGACGAATGGCGGAAGAAGTATTAGAAGGCACGTGGAGATGGGGGAAAGCAATATTGAATCTGAAATGGTGGACTCCAACGACGGCTTGTGTTCCAGCAGAAATTAAACCTGCTTGGGTTTGGGTCAGAATATTCGGCCTTTCTCTATATCTCTGGTCTGCTGACATCATGAAAGCCATTGGTGATAAATGCGGAGGTTGGATTGAGACAGAAGAGGAAACATAACTTAAAAACCACCTCCGTTGGGCTCGTATCAAAGTCAAAGGGCCACCAGCAATTATTCCGGAGGAAGTAGAGGTGGAGAACGACAGTTTAATCTTCCAATTGCCGCTGTGGAGCGAACATCCGGTGGCAGTTAAAACCCAGCGAATATCGATGAATGATGTTAATAGCACAAAGACCTTAAAAAGTCACTCTAGGTCTGCGGTAGCTGGGACTGACAAGGCAGAGCACATGGAAGCCAATAAGTTTCATATAATTCAAAAAAAAGGACAGCTGTATCACACCATCTTTTGAAGTGGGGCAAACTTCTGGTCTTGGAGGAAATAAGGAAAAGGAAAGCACACTATTGGGCCTCCCTCAAGGGGCCCAAATTTTAAAAGAAGTTGATAGCCCAATAGGTCTTGATATTATTCCTCTTGCTTCTGTGGAAGACCCAAAATGTTTTGATAACATTTTATATGCATCAGATGAAGGCCCATATCCAGTTGGACCAAGACCCGATCCAATAGGTCTTGAAATTGAAGCGAACTCATCGCTCTTATCAATATGTTCGATGACTTCAAAGTTAACACCTGCTGAATACATATCTAAGAGGGAAAGCTCATCAAGACCTGTCCAAATTCAGAGCTCTATGCATGAGACACAACACGATGATTATGTTACTAACTAGGAAGAGGAATTATGTTTGGAGAATCAACCGGTACAAGTACAAAATAAATACCAACCTCTACTGTACGATGGCACACAATGTTGGGAGGAAGAAGAGGTCATACCTTTAGACATAAAAAATCAGATGGCTGAAGAAGATGCACCCTTATGGGTACATAAGAACGTTATCAAGATGAGCAAACAATAAGGGGTTGATTTCCACGGCTGCGAATGGGAGGCTCTTTCTTTATTCTTGAAAATTGACAAAAGAAGACTGCAGAACAGAGTAGAGGAGACACTTGCAATCTGTGATACACCAAAGCCAAAAATCAATAGAGAAGTTAACAACCTGAAAATTAGGATGAAGTTCAAGGAGAGTGGATCGAGGAGCGGGGGGAAAAACATCATCACTGTTATCCAATGAAGGTCAAAATTATATCGTGGAATGTTAGGGGATTGAATAAGAGGAGAAAAAGAAGGGTTGTGAAAGCACTTGTTCATAAATGGAATGTTGATGTCTATTGCTTACAAGAGACAAAGCTGGAAGGGGACATGACAAGGGAAGTTAAACAATTATGGGGGAGAAGATGGGTTGATTGGGCTTGTCTAGAGTCTAACGGGAGAAGTGGGAGGATTTTACTACTGTGAGACAAGAGGGTTTGGGAAGGGTCAGTAGAAGGTTACGGGACACAGAGCATATCCTGTAAACTATCCTCTGTTTCTCAAAACTTTACATGGTATATCACAGGGGTGTACGGATCAAATAGCAGAAAAGAAAGACAGGATCTTTGGTGGGAATTAGCAGCTTACGNCGGCAGGAGGTATTTATACATGGTACAAAGGAAATAATCATATTGCAGCGTCAAGAATAGATAGATTTTTGATAACGACTGAATAGGATGAAGAATTTAGCAACATCAAGCAGTCCTTATTGCCTAGGCTAGACTCTGATCATCTACCTGTCGTGCTGCAATGTGGAGAATGGGAGTAGAAAAAATCTTACTTCAAATTCAAAAACTGGTGGCCGGAAGTAGAAGGTTTCTCTGAGATGGTTAATGGATGGTGGAGCTCATTTGACGTCACAGATGCACCAGACTACATTTTAGCAGTTAAGCTAAAAATGTTGAAAGGGAAACTAAAAGAGTAGAATCTTAACAACTATGACAGTTTGGAGAACCGAAAAATAGAAAATTTGAATGAAGTTCAAAGCCTAGACAGGTTACAGGAGCAGAGGAACTTGACTGAAGATGAACTTGTTCTCAAGACAAGCTTAGAGATGGAATTTGAGGAGATGTCAGTTTGAGGAGACTGCTCGGAGGAAAAGGTCCAGAATACTATGGCTAAAAGAGGGAGATAAGAACACAAGATTCTTCCACAGAATGGCAAATTCACATAAGAGAGCCAACAACTTGGACAAACTCGAGATCAATGGAGAGCAGGTTTCTGACCCAGAGGTTATCAAAGATGAAATTCTGCAGTATTATACCAACCTCTACACTGAAACTAAGACATGGAGACCAGATTTCAACTATCTTGACTGCCCAAAATTGACTGATGAGGAGGCTATATGTCTACAAAAACCTTTTGAGGAAGAGGAAGTTCTGGCTGCTATTAGAATTTGTGCCTCTGACAAGGCACCAGGGCCTGATGGCTACTCTATGGGATTCTTTCAAAAATGCTGGGCAGTAGTGAAGGAAGACATCATGAAAACTATTGAGAATTTTCATTCAAAGGAATTCTTTGAAAAAAGCATTAATGCAACCTACATTGCATGAATTCCAAAGAAGAAAGGAGCCAAGGAGTTGAGGGACTTCAAACCTATCAGCCTAATTGGGAGTGTGTACAAAATTATTTCTAAGATGTTAACAGAAAGGCTCAAGTGTGTAATGTACAAGCTAGTGGATAAACAACAGATGGCATTTATCAAGGGAAGACAGATTGTAGATGCAGCTCTAATAGTAAATGAATGTGTGAATTCTAGACAGAAGGGGAAAAAACCCGGAATCCTATGTAAACTTGATTTAGAGAAAGCTTTTGATCATGTCAATTGAAACTTTCTAATCAAAATAATGAAGGACATGGGATTCGAGAGCAAATGGCTGAAATGGATATTGTTCTGCATTAGCTTTGTCAGGTTTTCTATTTTGATTAATGGCTCACCTGAAGGTTTCTTTCCCTCGCAGAGAGGCCTTAGGCAAGGCGACCCTCTCTCCCTTTTTTTGTTTATCTTAGTCATGGAAGGTCTAAATTGTATGATAAAAAGGGCAAAGGTAAATGGTCGGATTAAGGGATTCAAGGTATCCAACAAACCTGACTCTGTGATGGATATTTGCCATTTGCCACACGCAAATGACTCTTTGATTTTGTGTGACGCTGAGGTTGATCAACTGAGGCACATCAGACTGATTTTAATTGTGTTTGAAGCAACTTCTGGGCTCCATGTCAATTGGACGAAAAGTCAGCTCTTCGTCATTAATGTGGTGTCTCATATGCACATATTAGCTGGAACTCTGGCTTGTGAAATTGGCAGCCTACCAACTACCTACCTGGGTATGACTTTGGGGGCTAAAAATAAAGCATTGGAAATATGGGATGGGGTAATTGAAAGAAGTGAAAAGAGAATGGTAAAGTGGAAAACTCAATATCTTTCGCTTGGTGGCAGAGTGGTGCTAGTAAACAGTGTGTTAGACTCTATACCAACATATGTGATGTCTCTGTTCCCTTTACCAACTAAGGTGGAAAAGAGAATGGATACTATCGGAAGAAAATTTATCTGGCAAGGTAACAAGGAAACAAAAGCTTTTCACCTAGTGAAGTGGAAGAATGTCATCTCAAGCAAAGTTAATGGTGGCTTGGGTATCAGAAATCTGAGACTACATAATAGAAGCTTACTATTTAAGTGGCTCTGGAGATACAACCATGAGCAGCAGGCTTTATGGAGAAAAGTAATAGAAGCAAAATATGGTCAAGACTCCCAATGGTGTACTAAGAGAGTTACTTCCTCTTATGGGGTTAGTAACTGGAAGGCAATTAGGAATCTGTGGCCTATTTTCCTCCAGAACACTGAAGTCAAGCTAGGAAATGGTAGGAAGGCTGCTTTTTGGAATGACAACTGGACAGGACATGGTCCTCTAAAAGACCAATATCCTGATCTAAATTTGTTAGCTTCAAATCCTCATGCCAAGGTGGAAGAAATAAGGGGACAACAGGGATGTAATTTGAACTTTCGAAGACTGCTGAATGATTGGGAAGTGGATAGAGTTGCTACACTGATAAACTAAATTGACCAACTGCAAGGCCTCTCAAATTGCGAGGACTCTTTGGTATGGAAGGGGTCAAGCACCAGATATTTCTCGGTGAATTCTGCTTACAAAAGCCTAATAGGCAATGTTCATTCTGACAGGAGTTGGCCTTGGAAACAAATTTGGAAGGTACATGCACCCACAAAGGTGCTATGATTTGTATGGTTGGTGGCTAGAAAAGCTTGCTTGACTGATGAAAAACTTAAGAGAAGGGGATATCAACTGACCTCCAGATGCTATCTCTGTGGAAAGAAAGCAGAAGACAACTCCCACCTTTTTCTTCATTGCATTGTTACCTCTCAACTGTGGCACATGTTTCTAAGTATTGTCAGAATGAACTGGGTCATGCCAAAAGATACATCCGACCTCTTGAGATGCTGGGCTGGTGTGACGGGTGGGGTCAGACAGAAGAAATGGTGGCAGAAGATCCCAGCCTGCATTTGGTGGTCAGTCTAGAACGAGAGGAACTCCGGATGTTTTGAGGATGTTAGCAACTTCATTCAGAAAATCAAAATGAACTGTTTAGTACTTTTTCTTTTTTGGTGTAAAGAATGCCCTTTAAATGATAGTGACTCCATACTTGATATCATAGAATCCTTGTAAGTTTTTGTAGCGGGGGATTCTTTTACTTTTTTGGGGATGTATTCTGTCACTTTTAGCAGCACAAACTTTGTGCTGTTTTATATTTATAAAATGTTATCATTCTCAAAAAAGGAGATGCCAAAAATTTAGCCATTTCCATTCTAATCCAACAGAATAAAGTTATTAAGTGCAGTATACTAAAACATAGATGACATCTATTAGTAAAGTTCCCAAGCGCACTGAGATCCCTTCTTCCATCACTATAATGAAGATGTATCCCAACAAGTGCTCTTCGATCATTTATTGTAATTATGACCACAATGATGGATCAAGGACATCAAATTCAAAAACAGCAACTGTCATATGGCCAGCCACCTATTTTGCAGATAAGGAACTAGGAAAACTGAATATTAGCTAAACATACAAATATCTGAATATAGCAATGAGAATGTACAGATAGAGGCAGGTAGTTCTGGCTAACATACCCAGTGGTTCAGATATCTCCGTTGCAACTTCTTTTAGCTCCTCAACACCTAGCTACAGGCTTGGATTAGACATTGGAGCTATGAAAAATCTCCAATTTCAAAGCATATAGGAGTATCTGTTTGGGCTCAAACAACTACTCAAGACTGGCAAGGGGCATATTGATTGATATACATAATTTACCATAAAATACTGACCCCCAACCTAAAGGCACTACACTTCTCAGGTAATGGAGAGAAGCCTGAATGTACCCCACCTCATGGGGTTAGAGTTGCATTGTCAATTATGTATTTCAATCAAAGTCCTTTCCTGGAAGCATTGACCTATTAGATACAATATGCCAATGGTTCAAGTAAAAAGAAAGATGTCCTTTCCTGGAAGCATTTTGACTTCGATTGAAATACATAATTTACAATGCAACTCTGACCCCATGGGGTAGGGTACATCACTTCTCAGGTAGACGAAATGGAGAGAAGCCTGCCAAATTTTGGCAAAGGATAACTCAATATTTTCTCGGCTCTTTTTTGTTCCCCAACATGCAAGAAGAATATTATTTGATACCTAAAGCAATTTAATCCAAGCCAACCCGTTTCCTAAATTGCCTCACATGCTCAATCCTCTGAATTTGTACGTCATTTGTAGCATCAGATACTTTCATCCTTCGGTAAAGACCCTTGTGATACTTCAAGAACTCACGTCTATACATCCACTTGTCCAAATACATACCATTCTCCTTCATAAAATCAATAACCTCCATCACCCTATGAAAATAACCACCTCGAAGAAAATTCAACAACAAGAACTCGTGTAAATCCCTGGTATTCAGCTTATTACGACTTTCCATGTTCCTTTTAATATCTCCCCATAAGATTGTAATTTCACGATACATCCCTAAAGAAGAATACCCATTAAGTAGATTCATGAAAGTTGACTCTGTAGGATGGATCTTCATTGCCTGCATTTTTCGGTATGCCCTTATGGCATCTTCGACCATGTGAGCCTTCATAAAGAAGTAGATAGAAGAATTTAATTCGTGCATCATAAAAGAAGCCTCGTTTTCTTCTCCCCTCATTTCTTCAACAATATGGTAAGCCAACTCCCCTTTTGCCATAGAGCCTAATTCTTTCAACTTAGCGATGCTTTTATCTTCCAGTTGACACAATGCAGGAGTTAACAACGGATCAGATGCATTTATGACAACACCTGATTTTCTTAATTGCTTTAGTAGTGCCTCTGCCTCCCTTAGCTTATTTTTATTGCGATATGCAGTCAACAGAGACATGTATGAACTAGTGCCTAGCTGACTTCCTTCAGAATCCAAATCATCCAAAATATCATGAGCAGTTTCAAGCCACTCCATGCAAATGCAAGCAGCAACCACATCAGAGCACATTCTGCTGGATTCAAATGAGCCTTTCCTCTGGATATTGCAGAGAAGCTTTGACAGCTCATTAATTCTCCCACCCCTCTTGTACCATACAATAAGCCGGGCCAACGCTTTGTTGCTAAGGACAAGTTTCCCATTCTTATACATAACCAGCACCTGATTATGTCCCACATTGAAAACAGACTCCCTTGATAATGAATGAGGAAAAATTCGTAGTTTCAATCCCATCCTTAGATGATCAGAGCCGATAGAGACAAGGCACGGTTTAGGTGGTGGTGTCTCATCTCCATGCATGTTATGAGACTCTTGAAGTTTATAAATATCCAGTACAAGATCAGAAGCAGCATTTATATCATTAAACTTGAAATGCAAACTCAGAAGACTTTCATAGAATTGCCGATAGTGGGGGACCAATGTTGTTGAAACCTGATCTATATGCTCCTTAAATTTCTTCAATTCATCTCGCATACCATTCATCTCTTGAATCAAACAAATAATTGAAATAGTATGAGCATCGGCTGCCACTCCAACTTGAGCCATTAACTCAATAATCTGATGGCCTTTAATGGATGATCTAAATCTTGCACAAGCATCAAGAACAAGATTAAAAACAAGTGTATCATGCTTATTAATCTTGGCGTAAGCTGACTTCTTTGTGGTTAATTGTTGAGAGCTACCATAAATCTCGATCAAAATATTCGATGACAGAATCATTCCACTCTCAGTCTTCACCATGTGAAATATTATCATCCCTAGCATGTCAATTGGTGGGAGAATTCTTTTATCCAACATCAGCCTGAGAATTGATGATGCTTGAACGGGCATTTGAGCTCTAGCCAACGATAGGCAGAGCTTGGTCATTAACTCTGAACGTAGTAACTCCCTTTTCTCTTTCAGAATAGAATCTACCATATTGTATGCCTTTCGGAGCCACCTAGAATCAGATGAGTACGACAACTCAGTGAGCAGCCTACCTACAAGAGAGGGGTCAGGAAAACCATAAAGACGTTTGAAATCCTTGTAGGTTTCCCAAGCCTCCTCCAAGTTGTGATTCTTCAATGCGCTTTCAAGCTTTCCCAGCAAAACAATGTTAGATGACACACCCCAAGATAACGTCTCTGGCTCTCTACTTGAACAGAACTGTCGAGGAAACAGCTCACTTCCAGGTTTAGCGTTTTCATATGAAATCGAGGACTCTGTTCTCGGGAAGACAGTACACCTTCTGTTGCAGGTCCCTCTACTGGCCTTTGAAGCCACATCAACAATGGAAGAGTAGCTTTTCCTGAAGATGGAGCAAACTGCGATAGCTTTTCTCAAGGGGCATGCCATGAAGGAACACCATCCAGAAAATCACGAATAAAAGAATTATAGCACTGTATCCTGGAAATATGCCAATCAAAATAGAGCACTCTATACCACAATCTGCCAAGATAAACCCAGAGATACCATAAAATGAATAAGGAATAGAGTGTGATAGCCTCAAAACCTAAATTCGCCACTAAAATATACAACAGAAACCAGAAACTACTCCAATTCCACAATTCTATCCAAAAAATAAATAAAGAATCTTGTTCAAACTAGCATTGATCACAGGTAGCGCAACGATTTTAACATTAAACTCATCCTGTTGACCTTACAAACATTTGAAATATGTGACAAAAAAAAACATAATCCGCATAGAAATGTGCAAAGATCTATGTTTTCAAATACTGCAATTCATTCGTAATGTAAATTAAGATTTTGGCTTAGTAATAATCTAGTTTTCTAACTTACTGCTAGTACAACAGCAACTAAACCTCAGTCAGTAACAAGTTGCGGACAGCTATATAAATACTCACTAATTTCTAACATACTACTATGCAACCAAACAAAATCGAAGTTTCCTTACATACTAACCTTTAACTCAAAAACTGTACTGATGGAGGAAGTTGGATTTTATGGATATTATTATGATAAGTTTCTTTGACAAATTAACCTCAATTATATGAACTGAGTAGAATTTAAAAGGTATTTAATATTAATTGATTTGAGATGATTGGAAATTGAAATAGGCTGTTCATAAGAATAAAGGAACACATTTGCAAACTCAAAACATTATAACAAGTGCTGAAAATGCTTTTTTCCCTCCTTTTTTTTGTTGATAAGTCCAAGTGCTGACAATGCTGTAGGCGAGGTTTTCAGAAAATTGACTGATATAGCAGCAAATAATAATGAAAAACTTACAGAAAACAATTACACAGTGCATTGCAGAACAGTTCACAACTATTATTTCAGCTTAAAAATGATTGCGAAAAGGGATTAGGATTTAAATCTACAGAAAATAGAGAGGGATAAACTAACAACTCAAGTTCGCCGGAGAATGTTCGAACGCAGGTGCCCGGAGAAACAGCGGTTATTCGAAATGGGTTTCGGGTCTCCATTTATTGTGTTTTTCTACTTTGCTGGCCAAAATTTGGGCGGATTGCACAAATAGCCCTTTTTAGGACCAATAGTCAAGAAATAGCTGAAATTTACAAAGTTTTTATAGTTTATCCGCCTCAAAATTAAATTTCAAACCATTATATCCGCCTCAAAATTAAATTTTAAACCATTATAGTATTAGAAATTTCAACGCAAAATCCGTTGGTCTTTGACAAAGACTAACTTCAAACTCGAATCTGAAGTTTTAAGGTTGACAGAAATCAATATGTTTTAAATAGAAGTGCTAAAAGTGGCTCCTAATGCCATTTCTATACAAAAGTTGGGCCTCCGTTTGAAACTTTCGAGAGATTGACAGGAATGGCCTCACGAGGGGCTCGTATCAGCCGAATGTCCCTAAAATTGGTGATATTTAAAAAATGAACCCTGACCCAACTCTTCGGGAGTTTTTCTATTGGATTAAATTGTTCATCGAAGTCTACCTGATTAATACACTTTTGCTCTTCAAAATTTCTCTACCGGATTAACAGAGTTGATGTTATTATTACTCTACCTATTTGTTTAGTTGTTCATCGAAGTCTACCTTATTGTCATACTTTTGCTTTTCAGAGATTTCTCTACGGGGTTAATAGAGTTGATACTATATTTACTCTGCTTTACTTGATTGACATACTTTTTCTAGGTTGTTTTAACAAAGTCTTCTTCGAATTTGCAACTTTAATTTTGATTAAACCACCCTAAATCTGCTCCAAATGATCTCAAATTTAAAACAAAACTTCCAAATACCAATATAAATATCTCCAATCACCATTTTAATTAAATAATACCAAATCAAAAAGACTCACTTTATCTTCTTCAACACTTTTTAAGGTCCAACAATAGAATTTTAAGATCTTTACAATAAATCATCAAATTTATGTTTGAACTAAAAATTTAGTACAAAGTATTAACATTCAAATGATTTTAACAATAATAGATCGTTAACTTCAATTTTTTACCACCAAAACAAGAATTTCAAGCTTTTAAAATTGAAGAACTATGGTGTACAAGTCAAAAGCAGGGACATTTTGCTAAGTTCAATCAAAACGGGGATATTCTGCCAAATTAGTCCCTTTGGGGGGACGCCGTGCAAATTTTTGGAAACTTTCATACAATTAGTCCGAGATGATTTGTCATTCCTTTTTTCTTTTAATTTTTAGTTGGAAAAGTAACGCGTATGACATAACCTCATAGTTCTACATTCTACAAAGAGCACCACCTTTTTATATAAAATATTGTTTAAATTTTAAAATTTATTTCCTAATTAATTAAAGGAAAGAGGAGACAAACTCGAAGATAAATTATTTGCTTATGATGGACGAAGCAAGCTGAAGTATCTTGAACTCGATTAGAATGAGAGGCCATTCTAGAATTTAGATTAGTCATTTAAGAAATTAAATTTTATCTATAATTCAACAGGACGTGCGAATTTTCTTATAAACTCATAGTATGATGAGGTTCAAGATGCTCCGGCATGCCTTGACGAAGTTTTTAGGAGGTAAAAACAGGATGTACAAAAGATAACGATAACAAAACAAATGTCAAAATGAAAGATATAAAAAATCATATCCCAAGTCACCAATCTGTCCCCTTTCTGAAAATCACGTTTTTTTTTCGATTTATTTCTTGAAATCTAAAAGGAATTAAGGAACATATAGAAATTTATATTAGCATACCAACTAGTTAATAATGCTAACTTAGTTGGTATGCTAATATAAATTTTTTGTTTCCACTGAGTTATCTTATTGGTTAAGGTCATATGAATTTAAAGAAATTATGGATCTTTTGAAACAATTTCATAAGAAAAAAGTACAAAATGTTTTCTAGGACGCTTGTACCAAGTTGCAAATAGAACACGAGCAAAACGAATTGGTGATTTAAGGTGAAGGGCAATAGAAGTACAATCCCTATTACACGGTAGGCTAAATGCAGGTTACAAGTTAATGTTACAACAAGATAATATTACAAGACAAACACCATTGGCACCCTCATTTATTTCGTCTCCCAAAATTCACTTCCTATCTAGGCTTTCTAACTCCTGCATCCAGCTTTTTACGCCGCTCTTCATATGATGCTGACAAATGTTCTAACGTTAGTGGATATCAAATGTACGACTATCATACGTGTACATTGAAAAAAAATTGTATGTATTAAGCTGTGTATACATGCAGCTGGATTATGAAGCACACGAAAAAGGAAGGTACAAGGATTATTTTTGACAGAAACTTATGATCCATGGAATTGACATGTCAAAAGAAAACTGAACGGACTTCATGCAGATGAACAGTGAAGAGCAGCACATAGGTAACGTAGAAAACTTGTTCTAATTTTTTCTTTCCTATTTTGGCTTTTATAAAACAATCTTTTCTCTATGTAAATATCTCCCCGAAGGATAAAAGAGTAGAAGAGGGTACCGATGTTTGTATAGTTTCCACACCTGTAATACTCCACCCCATTACATAGTACTTTAGTTGTCTATTCTCAACGGCTTTCTGTGTCACATCAGCAATGGATAAACCAGCATGATGATACAAAGATTCTTGTCAAAACTGCCTCTTTCACTTCACATTTGTTAAAATGAGAAGAAAACAAAGTTTGAGCAAATACCCCTAGGAAATGGTACAGATGACATCAGTGTACAGACTCTTTCCTTTTTCCTTAAATAAAAAAGAGGTTTCTTTTTTCATGGTTTTTAACGAATTAGAGTCCTTTTTCTCAAGGAGTGGCAAGAGTTAGAGAAGGCTTGATATCCCTTCGACTAGCATTGTATGCTATCAGTGAAACAAGAAAGTATTTTTGAACACCAGGGATAGTGAGAGAAGGCTTGATATCCCTTCGACTAGCATTGTATGCTATCAGTGAAACAAGAAAGTATTTGTGAACACCAGGGATAGTGAGATACTATTCAACATTTCTGCTTAAATAACCCCGGACGAAAGTTAACTAAATCGCCCTCGCAACTGTTAATCAAGAAGTCAACAATGCGAGTTTAAGACACTAAACTAGGACAAAGTTTGCTCATAGGCACAAATAATTAGTTCAACATTGTTCATTTTCAAGAACATGCTAATATTGATGTTTATAGCAGTCAAAACTCCCAAATTTAAACAGGTTCTATCAAATGACTGGAAAGACCAGAGGAAGAAGAACTCACGCTCAGTTGGTCGAGACAGTAGAGGAGTGTAGGAAGCTTCTTTCTTCTTAGTACGCTCACTTGATATATTGTCATCTAAAATGGAAAAACTCAATCAACTTATGTTAATCATAACAAGAATCAGCTTATTTTACTTACCAAGTAAAAAGGAAGTTCTATTAGCTTAGCTATGTGCTGCAAGTTATTGTCTATAATAGTACAGGTACAACATGACCTACCAATTTCAACAGAAGTGCTTATGATAGCTTCATGAAAAATTGCGGCTTGAAGTTTATAACTTCGGCATTCCCGCTCCAAATGTTCATTCAAAGCCTGCTTTGCATCTGCAGAAAAAGGTCCACAAGAATGTTTGTAGGTTACCCAAATTTGTCCATAAAATATCCCAAAGAACAGATATGATGTATCATNTAACTTCGGCATTCCCGCTCCAAATGTTCATTCAAAGCCTGCTTTGCATCTGCAGAAAAGGTCCGCAAGAATGTTTTAGGTTATCCAATTTGTGCACGAAATTTGTCTATCCAAAAGAACACATATGATATACATCCACGAACAATTATAAAATATTGATGTCTAAATTTTCCCCAAACAGCCCCTTCGCTCAGTCACAGAGAAAGGAGAGGAAGGATACATAAAAGGAAATCATAGTTACAAAAGCACTCTTTTGAATAATACATTTAATCACAAAAAGCACTCCTGTGAAGAGAGGCCACATGCTATGCCACTCACAAAAAGAAAAGGAAAGGATATATATGGGATACACTACAGCTCCTTATGGAACAAGTCCAGAAAACCAAAACTTGACGAAAACCTTTCAACAATACATTTTTATTGTTTGGTACTACAACTTCGAAATAATAGACTCACAATCAAGTTGGCCATATCATCAATAGTGGTTCTACAGTGAATTTTGTTTTTGAAAAAAAACAAATGCAATAGTGCCAAAAACTTCTCAATGAGATTCGAGTGCTGCTTATAGCAATTTCTTGTGTTAATACCAGGGCATATTTGGAACAAATGGCTAAAGTTGATAATTCACACAGCCATACTGACAAGATCCAGGAAAAGAGAAGGAACCATAAGAAACAACAACATGAGAACATGATTTGTCATATCTACCAACAACAAATACTACTATGCATCAGTCCAAAACAAGTTGGAGTCGGCTTCCCATATCTAACATCAACTAAAATAAAAACAGGGGATATTTAGTTTTCAAGGATCTTAAAAATTCTTAGAAAGAAAAAATGTAAATGAAACAAGACTAAAAGATTCTGAATATAGAACACCATTCAAGTACCTGATGAACAAATAAATTTGAGACCTTCAAATTCACACGATTGAAGAACTAGAGGTATCTCTGGAGCCATTAGAAACTGAGGTTTGCGTGGTGTTCTTTCAATATCCAGAAGTGCATCTATTACCTACAATCAAAATCGTACTTGACAATTGCTTATGACAAGATAACTCAATTAAAAATTCTTCCCATAGGGTCCTTTAACTCACGTAGTCAACCCTGAAAGCAATAACCAATTGGACATTGAGGAAAAATTGAGTAACAAGCAACAACAACTACGCCTCAAAGTCACGATTAAACAAGTTATTTATTTTCTTTAAGAATGAGTCATCAAAGAGATTTGCACAAAGCAGAAAGCAACGATCGACTCAGAAAAATCTGAACAGGTCTACGAGAAGAAGCATACAAGAATTAGCGGGATGACAATCACATGGTGGCGAGGCCAGAAAAAAAAGCATTCTATCTAGAAAGTTGAGCAGACACTGATGACCAGTGATCTAGTATTACATAAAATTATGACTCTAGAACTCCATAAGCTGCTTCTATTTTCATCACAAGGTTGATAAAACTTTAGTTATGGTTCTAAAAGAAAAGAGACGGAAAAACTTAAATTCTGCAGAAAACAAATCATATTCAATTAAAAAAGGTTTCATTAGCAGGTTTCTAAGCTAATCATTATGAGACATAGATTACGTACATTAGAGGTCACTATGAGATATAGATTACGTACATTAGGGGACTCAAGACCCTGGCCAATCAGAAATAGTACAGCAACCATGCACCGGATTTGATGCCAAAGGAAAGCACTACCTTTGATTTTCATAATCATGAGTTGATCAGCTTTGTAACTGCAATAAAAGAAATAATAAAGGCTTGCGAAGCATTTCAATACGTATAACGTGAAAAAACCTTTTGTAATTCATTGCTGAGTGATGATAATTATATACTTGGGATTTTCCCCTCTGATTTTCCTATCCGTTTTATTTTTTCCCTCGTCTCCTTTCCTTTCTGCTATCTTTTGAGAAACAGGATTCATTCAATAGAATTCTATCTGAAAGTACATATACCCAAAAACTCAAAAGCACTTGCAGAGAAAAGACAAAAGAAAGCAGATTTCAGTTAGATTCAAGATCTACGGATATTCATAAAATGTTACTAAAGGTTACCGAAAAAAAGACAAGGAAAAATAAAATAGACACCTATCCAACAATAAAAACCCAATTGCATATTTACAAGTATTTGCAATCATTTTTACATTACTGTATGACAGGTGCAAATGCCATCAGGGGAAAACAATGTCTATGCTTTCTCAATCTCCACATTGCATCCCATCCTAAAATATAGCCTAATAATCCGTAATATCAACTTTCATGGACAGATATAGTATTCCCTAACAACATCATTTATCTACCTAATCTAGCAACTTTTGTTACATTTTGAAACAAGAGCACCGCAGATCCAAAGGAGATAATTACAGAATTTACCACCAGAGAAAAAATAAGTTTAAACATCTAAAAACTCCAAGAAGATCAGACTGGTCTACTTAATAATCCTCCCCTCTAAAAGTAAAGGCTAAGTAGACTAAGGGACATAAAGTAGAAATAGCTGAGTGTCAAGCTAATAGTAGAAAACCTTTCACTAAAGGGGAGAATTTCAAATGATATTATGTGCCTCCGGTAGTTGTGCACATTGCCCGCGTCCATTTTGCAAAAATTTCTGAAATCATGTTCCCCTAAAAATTTCTCAGCAGCAGTTTCCATTGCCTGTGGAGCAATTCAAGAGTGTAATGTTGAAAATCTATGGAGTAAATCAGCATAACCAGGTCAATTTTGATTTCAGAAGGAAAGGTACACACTGTTATATTCAAATTCCCATGCCAAAAGAAGTACTTGTACACCCTGCTCAAACAACTGAACCTGCAATTATTGAAAGGCAAAATCGCTGTTAAACTATAATGAAGAACTGAACAAACTATGGTATAGCTTCTCAACCTAGAGGATAGGAAGATGTCAAGTTGACTTCTAAGGGATCCAGGACATACTTTTTCAGGTTTAGCCATGAGTGCACCTAATATACCTGGAGACCCCTATCAATTTCATAAATTGTGCCAATGATAAGTTACCAAATAAAACTTAGTGTTGATACTTTGATACAAGAATAATTCCTCATAAGATTCCGTAAGAAGGTGAAAGAGCTTCCCCTGTAACTAAAACAAATAACTAATCACAGGCTGTATTCAAAGCCTTCTCTACTACTTGAATGCGAAATATTTATGTCCTATGTATTATCAAAAGCATGATACCATAAGCTCCGATATACCTACTGAAAGAAAACATGACACTTTGGAAAGAGCTAGGTAATTTTAAATGCTTTTAACCAGCAAACTATCACTATCTTACAGAAATCTGAGAGCAAAGGTTATACGAAGCAGTAGAAACCTTGCACTGAAACCAACTGGAATAGGAGACCAGCCCATAATGCAAATGTCATTTGGCAGAACTTGATTTAGTACCCTCACATAGTCCATTTCTCCTGGGTGAAGAAAATATATAATGGTGTCAAAAGGTTAGTAATAACTAAAGACCAAAGCACCAAAATGATTGTGAGGGAAGTCAGCAACTATAAGAACTAAGATTTGCTTAAAAAGGTGAATTGGTTACACGTAGAATTAGTTGAAAATATCCGTCTAGGGGTGAAATACACAAGGCCATTTATAAAAATTCCATCCAAGTACTCCAACATGATCATTCTCTAAAAATGGCAACTTAACAGGTAACAGCCATAAAACTACACTAGCAGAACTTGCATAAAAAGAAAGAGTGGGCAATGTTGCAGGAAGGGAGTAGAATTGATGTGTGCCAAATCTCATTACAGTAAGTACATGTCAGATCACTAATCAGAAAGGCTAAACATAGTAGTACATGGTAAGGAGATATCAGCAGACCACAAGATTCTTCAACAGAAATTTCCCCAGAATACTTATTGTCTCCTCTTGACTCCCTATGTTTTGACCTTAAGAAGAGAGAAATCACCTGCAACAAGTATTTCTCATGTTTTAAAAGACATAAAAAGAGATATATCCATAAAACTTTTCTCAAAGGCACATAAAAAGAAAAGGATGTGCAAGCAAGGAAATGAACTGGAAGGGGAAAAAATGGTTCAATGAAATTTGATGGAAAGCAGCTGCCACTAGGAATCAAAAGTGCAATAACAACACAGAGTTTATAACCCACCAAAAAAATAGAATTAGAAAATGATACATGTCTGGTTATAGATATTTACTTGAATGAATTGCATATGAACTTTTTATCTGCTTGCAGGGAGCTCTTCTTTGAAATTGTTAAAGAAAAACACTTTCGCATCAAATGCACATTATATCTAAACTACTAGTAAATCAAACATTCAACAAATTAATTGCTCAATTCAACTCACTTGACCAACAGAGGAAACTCCCTTGTCCGTTCTACCACATCTTGAGTACTGCAATTCCCTCTTGTCTCCAGATATCAGTCTTGTCCTCTCTAGAGCTTTGAAAAGTTCACCCTGCATGAAGAAAACCATCAGAATATGCAAAGAAAAATACTCTACTGAGATGCTAAAGTGCAGACAATAAAGTCAGCCAAGTGCTACCAGAGGAGGCCTCAAAAACAGCTTGTGCTAAGATTGAACAGTTCATTGTGCAATATATGCAAGGAAAAAAAAGTGTGCTCACAGAAAAGCACCAGATTATATTCTTTCCTTAGTTTCTCTCAATCTAAAGGACGGGAAACATGGACTATGATTAAAACAAGAGAGGAGTAAGATAAAGAACATTTAGAACGCATAGTTACATGTTCATTGCATTAAATGCTGGCCTGATTCTTAAAAGAACATCATCTCATAAGAGAACATAGTACCTCAACAGTGGGATCCATTTGAGCCTCCGAAGCAAAACCATAAAACCTGTAATGCAGCATGAGAACACGGTTACAGTATTAAACAAGACACAAGTACTTGCTAAAATTTGGGCAAAGTGAAAAAAAAAAATCCACAATCCTACTAAAAGAGAATGGTAGAAACGCAATGTAACATGCACCTTCTGGTTAGTTAATACGTCAATTATACTTAAACTGAATAGGGTTAAAAAAGTGACAGATCCACCTGCAACCATTAGATTCCAGAATGAAATAAGGAGCTCCATCCTCATATTTCACGTGACCACTAGACCATCTATGCAAAGTTATTAACAGGGACACTTTAGAGTTAGGACCAGGAGGCAGTTTTAGCAATCAATACTTAAAGTGGTTTTATATATAACCCCTTTTCCAGGTAACATAGATGGCCTTCATCTTTGTTTCTAGATGAAATATGTAGAAAAAATTACTATCACAAAACTGAGGTAATACTAGATAAAACATTGGAAGTGTATTCCATGAATTAATCCACCTCATTCAACATCTTTCCTGACAAATTAGAACAACACAATTCTTTCTTTTTCTTCCGAAACACTTTTATCTCATCTTGGCATTATTTTAGTAAAGAAGATTGAAACTCCTTAATAAAATTATATACCTAAAATTTACAAATGTCTTCTAATACGTGGCTCACCTTTGGCTAAAGTGATATGTCAAATTACAAAATATGATCAAACAAGATGATGTTTGGTTAATGGATGAGATATCTTTTGTGATATCCTTATTGTTGGGAACTAAGATGGAAAAAGCCTTTGAATAAACCCAAGAATTACAATAAGTACTATTTTTGGTGTTTAAATTTAAACTATTCAGTTGTGGAACCCTACTTAATAAACAGATTAGATGCTTCCTAAAGAGTGTTGTGCTATGAAATATTGGCTTGTTTGAGGCTTTGTTAAGACTGAAGTAAACTCTCCGGTGCGAGAAGTCTTTTAGAGTTCAATGCAAAATAGGCTTAATAAGAAATCAAGGATCCTTGCCCCTTTTTTCCAGTATTCTTCTTTCAAACTCATTTAGCTTTTCTTCAACTGTTTCCAATGTTTCCACTTCATTTATACACCTAATTTTATGTATCTATATTACAATTTGATATCTTCTGAAGAAGACAGTATTGCGCTTCAGAAATCAATTAAACTATTAGTAGCATAATAATACCTTGGACCAAAATACATGACTTTCAAAGCGACATATCTTTTTGGGAACTGATGCATAACCATTGCGCCACAGCCTATAAACAAAAAAAGGAATATTTCAGCAAAACCATTTCCATATTACGACATTTCAGCATATTCTATTCGAATTACAGTATCAAACTTGCAAAGATAGCTAACACAGTAAACTCTATTTTTAAACAAGAAAGTTATAGTTCATTCAGTACATAAAAAAGAACAACCTTAGCAACACGAATCAACTCTTTTAACTAATTTTAACACTTAAATTACCATCGCGAAAACTTTCACATTGCACGTAAAACTACAGCAACACATTCCAGTCACTAAACTTTTATTTATACAAACCTAAATCTCTGAGCTTATCTTTCTTCTTTCCATGACCATCCAAAACTCCGTTCTTCACAAGGCTGCCGTTACTTTTCTCTTTTGTCTACATAGAAATAACAGCACATCAAAATTCACATTAAAATTTTATAAATGTGGTTGAATTATGAGGAAGAAGAAGCAATAACCTCTTGACAACTGCAATGCGAGAGCCGGGCAGATAATTTAACATTTTCGGATTCCAATTCCTGTGTTTCCAATTGAAGATTTTAAACACATTAAATAGTGATTTTGGAACATTAAGAGTTATTTGAAATAATTTATTTTGCAATTAGCAACAAAAGGTTACCTTAATCCTGCTTCGAAGAGTCTCGAGTTCCGACTGTAGGGATGCTACGAGGTCCATCTCCGGCACCGGATATTTTGTGGAGCTCCAAATTTCAGAGACGGAGCTCCGACGAGTTATTTTATAAGTATAGTACTCCTATAAAAAATGTTTAGCTGGATTTCTATGTTAGTGTAATCATTATTTTAGTTTTTGTTTTTCTTTCAAAAGAAGGAATAATAAAACAAACGGAATGAAATTAAGAGTTTAAGAATAATGATGAAATTTAGGGTTTAAACAAGTACTATTAGGATTTAAGTTATATTGAAATTTTATCTTGTTTAAACTCTTTTGTAAGAATTAATTTCCCCAAATTATTCATTCGACTTTAACGTACAAGTGTTTAAGGTAAAAAGTTTATTTTGGAATGAGTTTACCTAGCAATTTTCAAAAAACTTCCTTAAAAGGTGCAACCAATAAGGTAGTTTATTAATAAATAATTACGTTTCAATAAACTAATTAGAGTATCCCTACATGAATTACTATTAGAATAAGATGAATATCATGATTTTGTTTGCTTTTGCAAAGATGGCATTAATAATCCAAAGCTAGACAAATACTAACAAATTCTTTTTATTAAAGAAGTATTGAAATTAGACGAAATCACTTCCTATATTTCTTTGATTATGTCACGAGATTTTCTTTAATTACTTATATGTTTTCTCTCTCAACTTATTTATTTAATCATTTATGTTTGACTATAGCCCTATAGGTGATGGTCTAATATTAAACTAAAATGTATTTTTCAAGCGTCGTAAGTGTGTAGGCTTATGTACAAAACAATACACATATGTTACACAATACACATATGTTCAAAACTTATTCTCATCGGTTGTCTATGCCAAATTAACGAATGGAAAGATATGTCTTTTATACACATATTTATTACTTAATTTTAGTTAAACGATATATTTTGTCACTTTTAATTTTTATTTATTCAGATTAAATTATTTGATTATGGGTAAATATCCGATTTACCATAGACGTACGGATAGATCTTGCCAGATAACCTTTTACTGATGCCGTAAGTACTTAATAAGTTCAATATATTTAATGCTACTGGCCACAAAACAAGAAATGTGGATTCACTCATTGTCCAACTTTTCTTTGTAGTGAAACAAAAAGAAAAGAAGAAAAAAGAACATGTACACACGTACAGATGTCAAAGCTTTCAGTTACAATGACAGTTATTAGACCATCAACTTGTCCAAACTTGCCGCTTCAAAAGGCGCAACCTAAGTACTCTCTGTCTCTTCCTAATCAATTAATTCTTTTACAGATCTCCGCTGTTATCTAACTAATCACAACAATTGTAACCAAAAGTTTAAGATTAAAAACTTAAGCCAAAAACACTCTCTATGTAGTGAGCGCATCACTTCAAGAATTTGAGACTGCTTTTGGCTATTGCTTACTTATCCATTTAGTTATAGGGTCTTTAATTAGTTTGCGACATTGCAAATCTTACAGCAGCTTGGAGTTGGAAGTAAAGAAGAGAGAGAGAGAGAGAGAGAGACATATATATGCAGTTATTTCCTATATCCTACTTCTTACAGTATTATTAATATGGAATTTACTGATGGGAAATTATCAAATGAGCATAAAGAACAACTGCGATCTGCTTCAGAAAGTGCAGATCCATTGTCAGTATCTCCATTACAGATATCTCCATTAAAAGTATCTCCAAAATCACCGCGCTCCCCGAAGTCTCCTAGATCTCCCGGTGATCGTCAGAGCAAGCCTGTCACAGAGAGGGGAAGTCCACTCAAAAATAGAAGAAACTCTCATTCTCCCCGAGATGGTCGTCCAAAGAAAGGTAACTTAAGTAATTTCTCAATTGCACATGAAACGGGATAGTTTTTCTTTGACAAGATTATTCAGACCGTTGCATTTAAGCAATATAATGGTACAAAAATAACTAACTTTAAGTAAGAATTATAATGCTCATGATCCTTGTATTTAAAACCATGTAATTTCAAATTTCAATCCGTCAATGGATAATCATATTATATTATCATGCATAAACATGATTTTACTCATGTCATTCTCTTGTATGCTACTATATCTGTTTGCTTCTTCTTTTTCATTATAACATTGAAACTACACCAACAAAAGTTGTGGTGGAGTGATAAGTACTCCTTCATCCTTAACCAGAAGTTTCGGATTCAAGTCCTGGGTATGGAGTCCCCTTTGTTAGGAAGCGCTTTATCCTCCAACATGGGACTTCCCGGCATAATCCATAGTTAGTGGGGTCCCAATACTGGTACCAGACATCGGGTGAGAAACCAAAAACAAAAAACATTGAAACTGCATTTAGTAAAGATTTTAATTTTGTATATTAAAGAACCTCTAGTGTTAGATAATCCTTAAGTATGGAGTATTGAAATATTATATCCCAAACAACATTTATGATATTGAGGATTCATATAGCCGGCCCCAACTAGCTTGGTATTGAGTTGTATTAGTAGTAGCAGTTGTTGTCAAATTGACTCTTCTCATTATATTTATGATTATACAGGAGGTTGTGGAGGAAAAGGCACTTGGGGTGGATTAATGGATACCGATGATGTCCATGCTATTGACCCCAATGATCCAAACTACACTAGTAGTGAGGTATGTAATTTTTGCTATCATATTTGAAGATAGGCTTCCTATGCCTCAGAGCAAACTCTGTTGACTTTAGGATTTTTCTCATGGTATTAGAAATTTTCATAAATAACACATCATTAACTAACTGCTGTTACCTCACCGAGTCGAGGGTCTACCTGAAACAACATCTCTATCTTCTTAAGGTAGGGGTAAGGTATTCGTACACTCTATCCTCTCCAGACCCCACGTGTGAGATTACACTGAGTTTGTTGTTGTTCTTATTGCAACACATCATTAACTAACTAAAACTTTTTGTTAACTTGTTTTTAGGATATTGAGAGAACAAGTAGTAAAGATATGATTGCAACATTTGAGGACTACAAAAAGAAGGCTATAATATTAGTGGAAGAATATTTTCAGAATGATGATATAACTTCCACAGCCAACGAATTAAGAGAACTTGGGACGTCTTCTTATGACTTCTACTTTGTTAAAAAATTAGTATCCATGGCAATGGATAGACATGACAAGGAAAAAGAAATGGCAGCTGTTTTATTATCCGCTCTTTATGCTGAAGTTATTAAACCCCAACAAGTTTACAAAGGTTTTAGTAAACTCTTGGAATCTGCAGATGATTTCATTGTAGACATACCTGATGCAATCGATATTCTTGCGTTGTTCATTGCAAGAGCAGTAGTTGATGATATACTTCCTCCTGCATTTTTAGCAAAAGCAAATTCTTCTCTACCTAAAGATTCAAAGGGAATTGAGGTTATCAAAAGAGCTGAAAAAAGTTACTTATCAGCTCCTTTACATGCTGAGATTATCGAGCGTCGTTGGGGTGGAAGTAAGAATAAAACAGTTGAAGATGTTAAGGACAAGATCAACAATTTACTTATAGAGTATGTGGTAAGTGGGGAGAAAAAAGAGGCTTTTAGATGTATTAAGGATTTGAATATGCGATTTTTTCACCATGAAATTGTTAAGAGGGCTATTATTATGGTAATGGAAAAGCAACAAGCCGAAAATCGCCTTTTGGATCTACTAAAGAAAGCTGCAGAAGAAGGTTTGATAAATTCAAGCCAATTATCAAAGGGAATTAATAGGATTATTGACAATATTGATGACTTGTCACTTGATATACCAAATGCAAGGGTGATTTTGCAGTCTATAATTTCTAAGGCAGCATCTGAGGGTTGGTTATGTATTTCATCTCTAAAGTCATTATCAAAGGAAATTGAAAAACAAGAAATTGATGAAAAGCTAGTGAAAGAATTCAAACTAAAAGCACAATCAATGATCAAAGAGTATTTTCTGTCAGGTGAAATTGTAGAAGTTAGTAGGTTTTTAGAATCGGAGAACAGTTCGTGTTTGGCCGAGCTAAATGCCATATTTGTTAAGAAGTTAATCACTTTGGCTATGGACAGGAAAAACAGAGAGAAAGAAATGGCTTCTGTTTTATTATCATCTGTTTGTTTTCCAGCAGATGATGTAGTAAATGGCTTTGTAATGTTAATAGACTCTGCAGAAGATACAGCTTTGGACATTCCAATAGTTGTTGAGGACTTAGCCATGTTCTTGGCTAGGGCAGAAGTAGATGAAGTTTTAACTCCACAACACATGGAAGAAATTGGTAGTCAATTTTTTGAGCCGAATTCTATAGGGAACAAAGTTGTACTAATGGCAAAATCTTTATTAAAAGGTAGATTATCGGGTGAGAGAATATTAAGGTGTTGGGGTGGTGGTGGAAGTAGTTCAAATGGATGGGCAATAGAAGATGTTAAGGATAAAATAAGAAAACTATTAGAGGAGTTTGAATCTGGAGGAGATGCAAAGGAAGCGTATCGATGCATAAAGGAATTAGGGATGCCATTTTTTCATCATGAAGTTGTTAAAAAATCATTAGTGATTATTATTGAGAAGAAAAATGAGAGGTTATGGGGTTTTCTTAAGGAATGTTTTAGTATGGGACTTATAACTATGTATCAGATGACAAAGGGATTTGCTAGAGTTGCAGAATCTCTTGATGATTTGGCTCTAGATGTACCAGATGCTGAAAAACAATTTAAAGATTATGTTGAAAGAGCAAAAGTTGAAGGATGGTTAGACTCCACAGTTAGTTTCAACAGGCTTGGACATTCAATGGAAAATGGCTTTTGCTGATTGATTTCAAGGTACATTCTGTTATTTTAGTTACTTGAGCAAACTTCACTATCTGTGTATTTTGAGCGGCATTACATGTGACCGGGAGGTCACGGATTCGAACCGTGGAAACAACCTCTTGCAGAAATGTAGGGTAATGCTGCGTACGATAGACCCTTGTGGTCCGGCCCTTCCCCGGAACCCGCGCATAGCTGGAACTTAGTGTACCGGGCTGCCATTTTTTATAAGGTGATCTTAAATTAGATCCTTTTTTCTTTCTTTCTCTTGCGGAATATAATAAAATAAATATCTTTTTATATTGAATTTATTAGAACATAACCATATTTACAACTTGAAAAAGTACAAGGTGAATGTATCTTACCTAAAAACTCTTGTAG